ACTACTCCTATCCCATTATATATTTGTCTTTACTATTTATAGTCTTATGTACATTACTTTCTTGAAGAAAATGCTATATACAGAAACTCTGATTTTCCTGTAACACCCTTTATTCTTTATTTTTCATTCCAGTTAAAACTTAAGATCTTTTCAAGTTGTTGGAACAAGTTCCCCCAAAATGGACAAAGGGAAAAAATAGATTTACACTCACTCAGTTTAGTGATCCTTATATTCCAGGTGTAAATCTGAATTTTAAAATTTTGTCAAATGTCAAAACGTTATAAATTCTGTAGCAAAATAAACTGAGGAAAAGAGATCTCACCTGTATTCCATGAAACCCGAGGAGCATTTGTATCTGTTGTTCTGATAGAAAGATGCACCGTGAGTGGTAAACTCCTTTCAAAGTAGAAGTCATGAACCTCAAATTCCACCTATTGTGAAAACAGACAAACTTTATTGAAAAATAAAACCCTGGAAACCAGCTGTACCTCAAATCACATACAGTGTGTTCTTTCCTGAGAGATCTTAAAGTCTTCTGATAACATGTTAGCAAATTAGACTTGATTTAGCTTCTAAAAAGAGCCTATGAGCTTCGGCACTAATTGAGTATCTGCCTTTTGTGCTCTTCACAGTGAGTGCTAGGAAAGTTAGTTTGCAATGTGTGTAAATTAATGGGAAAGATAAGCATTTTCACTGTTGTTTGAGGTACAATTAACTCAGCAATTAGCATAGGGCTTATTTAATAGTAATAATAAAAGGGGGAAAGGCCATTTCCCACTCTTCAACAAATGTAGGACCAAAAAAAATATGAAAGAAAAGATATGGACTGGCACAGAAAAAGTAATTAAAAAAAAGAAAATTAATTGTCAAACTCTTGATTTGTCAGATTCTTGAACCTGCAGTCAAACAATGCTGAAAGCAGAACAGAGAAGAGGCACTTAAGGAGCAGGCAGTTTGGTAGGATGACTGATCCTCATACTAAGGAAACAGAAAGAAAAGAGATTCCTGTGACAGCCAAGTTTTAAAAAAAAGACAAGCCTTGTCAGCATCAGGTGCCAAAGTTACTGTTCTTGTTCCTCTGCTTTCCAGTCCATCCTTTCTCCAGCTTACCTTGTTCTGATTCTCTGTTTCTTCAGTTTCGTTACTTTAGTACCGACCATTTTGCTTTGTTTGGGTTATTGCATAATTATCTTATCAGATAGTTATTTTATAGCTAGCAGCATATACTCTACCTCATTTCTCTTCCTCTTTTATCTTCTTTTCAAGACTATTGCTTATTTCTCAGAGTGCTGGCACACTACTGAATTCCACAAAATGTCTAGCAGTTGATAAATACATAAATAAATAAGTAAATAAATAAAGTAACACTGTACCCAAAGTAGGAGACATTCACCATCAGCACTCTGTGCAGATCTGGAGGGGGAAACATTGCTAGCAGCCAACATGGAAAAGGCAGAACTGGTGCTCTGCTCAGTCCCATAAAACATAAAAATATACCTGAAGGCTTCGTCTGGTAGACGGGCACTGTTTATTTACTCACTTGCTCCAGACCCTCCTTGCCTTCATTGTTTGCTTCATTTTCTCTGTGTTAGTGACATGCTTTTAGTCCTCCCAGCAGAAACTGTTGGGAGTCCCTTTTTTGTAATCACTATACCACCATTCCCACAGTAGGTAGGCTGAGAGATCAAATGGCAGTCCTGACATTTTGATGGTCCATCTTTTTCATGGCTTTAAATATGTCACCTGTCCACAAGTCACAGGGATGAGTCCTGTCACATAGGGATAAAAGCTATGGGGAAAAGGCACCGCGGATCCTTCCAAAAGCCCTTGGGTTGTTCTACAAGTAGTGTTACTCCCCTGTTTTCTTCATTTAAAAAAAAATAAAGAAAAATAAAAAGAAAAAAAAAAAGAAAAAAATCCTGTTTAGATATTCTCAGTTAGAGAGGATAAAAATCTTTCAATGAAAAGAAACTCTTAAGTAGTGAGCAACAAATATCTGATTTGTGTTAGGCACCTAAGCTGATAGGTCATAGGAGAAAGTGGTAAAAGGTTTTACCTCTGCCCTTGCACTGCATATAGTTATAGAAACATCTTTTTTTTTTTAATATCCATTACAAATGAATGCATTTCTTTATAGCTTTCTGAATCTCAAGGAGGTGAAAATGAGGAAATGCTCATACATTACACTGTTACCTCATAGTTCCTCTTCTCTGTGTGGCTGTTATTTGGAGGCTGGTAAGCAATGAGCATGTCACTCAGATCTTTCCATGTGAAGGAGCCAACAGGCTTTGTGTGGTCAGATAGGTGAGTGATGAAGCCCCGTGGAGGTGGCTTGGTAATGTTGAATACAAGCAGGGACTTTGGAGTTTCGTTGTCTTCAGCATCAACAGTTGTGGTTGTAATGGGAGTTAAAATAAATTGATCTACTTCAAGGATGAATTTTGCCATCAGGGCAGCTCTGGGTATTTGATTGGGAATAGCTCCTTTAATCTGAACAGGAAGCCATGCATACTCAGTCTACAACAGGAAAAAATGAGACAACTGAAAGGACAAAGTGAAGCAAACAAAATAAATTAAATTTCCATTACCTTTACGTAGCTAATTGGGGTACATGTTAAAGCAATAATTATTTTAAAAAGAAAAATTGAAGCGTTTTGGTGAGAAAAAGCCTACAGTAAATATTTAAACCTCATGAAAAGGTCTTCCAGGTTCACTAGTCTTATTTGTGTCCTTAATTTTGGGATGAAACAGCTTGCTTAATTTGATGTGAATTTAATGAATAACTTTACCTGACAGAAACATGCATGAGCCATTAATTATTATTAACTCAATATGTTCACTCAGGTCTTACCTTATTAAGTAAGTGCAGCTTAAGTCTGCTTATTAAGTCTGTGCAGCTCACGGTCTATAACAATGGTTGAATTATACAAGAATAAATTTTGCTCTTAGTCTACAGTACTTATGTCAGCCAGTAAACAATTAGAAGTGTTTCTCGGTAGGCATAATGATCTAAGGATGGAGGCATGGCATTTCATCTGCCCAGCTGGCAACACTGAAAGAACTAAACGAAATTTCAGGCTCTCTATCCTTCTTCAAAAGCAAAAAGGAGCAACAATTTTTTTTTTTTTTTTAAACCAGGAGGGCAATCAGACATTGTAAGGTTGTGTAAAAATCTACCTTGTGCAGAGTTTTGCTTCTGCTGTCTGTGAGATCCAACCTCAGAGGAATATAATCGGTGTCAGGCGAGGGAGGGTCAAGGTGCTGATATCGAATCCCCACCCTCAGAAATTCTTCACAGCTCATTTTTGTGTTGTGAATGACTCCCAGTCCCAGCACACAGCTCCCGTTTCTGCACTGCTGGCCCAGGCTGTGCTCTGTAATCCAACAGAAGCAATAGTCAAACAGTTACTGGTGCAGAAACCAACATGGGAAACCTGTCTGTATAACGAAACTAACCCTGATAAAAAGCCAGTGTGATGAGAATTAGAACTGCTTTCCTGACTTAACTTTTCCTACAGGATTTTGTTTTCAACTGACATCTTCCAGCTCCAATCTCCCTTGCTCTCTTGGGTAGGTGCTGCCTCCCACCACTCCCTGTGCTGTTTCTACTGAGTCTTGGCACTCCCAAAGCCGTCGCGTTGATCCACATGTCTAGGAGCCAAAACCAGACCCCAATCACGGGATTACTGACCCAAATCTGTGATCGGTGTTGTGCCCCACACAACCTTTATGTTCCTTTCAGTTTCCATGAGAGCTCAAGCTGTTCATTAAACTTCACATGACCCACTCTTACCCAGCATGTCTGAAGCAACCCACTGCTGCAGACTTAATCTGCTGGGTCACTTTGAACCTGTTAATACAAACTAAAGCATATTGTACTAGGGCCAGGGAAGAAGCTCTGTGGGTGATCTCCACGAAGGTGCTCTTGCCGCACTTCTCCAATGATGAGCTGGCCATGAGCAGGCAGGTGGGTTTCCAAGGAGGCTATGGAAATGGTGCAATCCAGGTTTATCTTCCTGTCATAGTCAAAAGCAAGGACGTTCTTGTCAATTGCCCTGGACAGACCATAGTACTCGGGGACCTCCAGGGTACGGTAGTGCATTTTGATGATGTTACAGTCTGGTTCAAGTAACTGCACATGGAGGGTGAATGTTTCTACAAATGTTTCAGTTTCTGTAAACCTGCAGGTGATAGAAGAAAATTAATTATGCTTCATCCCAGCTTCTGTCTCTCTGTGAGTTTGGCGCTGGCCTCACCTTCTGAACTTAATTTCTTGAACCCCTTTCTCTCATTGCCTTCAAACCACAGACCCTGCTGCCCACCTCCTTGTACTTGTAAAAAGGGTGTCTGTGCAAAGGAAGAGGTCACTCGCTGTGTATTAGCAAAGGTCTATGTCCCTATCAGTAGGACAGCACAGAACATACAGCTCTCTGAAAGTAGTTGTCATTGTCAATAACAAAAAGAAAAATCACTGGTTTTCTGCAATAAACAAGACAAATAAGTGTGACAAATGTTCCTGTAGGCAGGTGGTCACTTGTTGACCAATGATGCTATTACTGGATCTAAGAAGTTACAACATGTACAGCAGAACATGTTTTTACTGTGAAAGATGGACTGCTTGCTCTTCCTGAGAGCAGCTGTGCTCCAGGTAACAGTGAAATGTGATCTCCCGCCGCCACTTACCTGTACAGTCTAAGCATGACTGTGTCTTCATCTAAAATCGGACAGCCATTGTGGGTATATTTGACTTCATTAGGAAGGAAATGACAGTCAAAAAACTATGAAGGAGAAAGAATAGAAAAGTACAACATTGTCAAGGGTGTTAACTTGAGAGCTTCTTTTCCAGTTCTCTCTGACTGTCAAGGATTCTTCAGAATAAGGAAATTTTTAATCTGTAGTTTATTTCTGTGGATAGGAATTCACCCATTCTGTGGTTTCCCAGTGAGAGCAAGAGCAACCACTTAAATGTGGGGCTGCTAACACTCTACTGTTAGAAAGAGAATGGGCATATAAATGTGAATGTTTCAGGCTGACAAATTCCTCCTCCAGCGCAACAAATAGTTTGAACGCACACATCTCTACCACTGCAACCTGTGGATTTACGGATGCAGCTGTATTCAGTGGGAGAACTGCAGTGGATCTCCAAAACCAGTAGTCCCCACCACATACTGTTAGGTTTATTAGCTTTTAAAGTTGCTCATGGAGGTAGCTTGGTTATTCAGTAAATTCTGTTTTATCACCACTGCCATTGGCCTCCAAAAGTATGATCTTGTGAAACTTCTCTGTTGGAAACTTTTCTAGCTCAGATTTGTCCATGTTTTTGGAACACTGACTTTGTACAGGTGGCCTTTTACCAGATCAGATGTCATCTCTGTGTCACACCAACACCCAGCCCCAGTGTCAACGTAATACCACAGCACAAAAGCAAGCAGAATTTCTATATTGTGCCCACCAGCTAATTCAAAAGAGACTCATTCTTATAACACACCTGATACAGGTCAGATTTGCAAAGCTGGCTGGTCACAGTTTAACCATCTAAGTCAGATACTTGTTTCAGGTTGATTGTTTTATTTAGTGGTTTGTTGACTTGCAAAATTAAGACAATGAGGAAAAATGCCTAACCCACATGGAAAAAGACTGCTTTGGAGGGTTCTGACACACCCATTCTTTGGAGCAGGGATTTGGATTCTGGAATATACGGTTATCATGTCCTCACATATGCCAATTTGCAAGTCTAGAAAATTAGAATTCCCATGCAGCTATATTTCTTTATAGAGTTTAACAGCTGAAAGCTCCCAGCAGTGATAAGACCGCGTCCGTGTTATCCTTATGATAACAGGGAACCCCTACCCAGCCCATGTATAGATGGAGGATACTCATGTTTCGCATCCAGAGAAAGACAGGGCATGTTCCTGCCAGCAAGAAGGTAAAAGCTAATCATTGCATTTTCTGAGTGTCTCACTATGAAACTAGATGTGGTTTTGAGTCAGCTTTTATGGGCAGTATTCCCACAATGTTAGATCTTCTATGGACTAAAATAAAACCAGTACAGCATTCAGTAATAGACCTGATTACACCATAACTAATAAGGATTAATATACACGTGTCCTGGGTTAAGCTGAGACAGAGTTAACTTTCTTCATAATAGCTAGCAAGAGGATGTGTTTTGGATTTGTGCTCAGAAGAAAGCTGATAAAAAGTGATGTTTACACGGCTGACAAGGTCGGCAGACCAGAGAAGCTGGGAGGGAGCACAGCCCCAGTTACTAGCCCAGGATTTGATCTTAGGTTTGGGATTAGAGACCCAGAGTGGCCAATAATCTATTCCATAACATACATGTCATGCCCAGTATATAGGTGAGGACCCTCCGGAAGATCATGCCTTTTGGTTCCAGATCTCTTTTGCTTTTGCGGGTCATCTTGCTCCAGGTGGTTGCTCTCCCAAGGCCTTCCCCCCCCCCTCCCCCTGACCCTGGTCAGCTCTTGGTCTGGGATGCTCGGACTGTTTTTTCCCTTCCGTGAGCGCGGTTTCGGGACTCTCCCTGCTCCAGAATCGTTAGCCGGGAACAGGCTGAGCCTTGGTCATCAGGTGGGGGGGCAGTATCACTGTGTATCATTCATTTGCATATTTGTATATAGTATTATTTTCAATATTATTGTAGTTTAGTTATTAAATTGTTCTTATCTCAACCCATGAGTCCTTTTTCCCTTTAACCCTTTAATTCTCTCCCCTTTCATTAAGGGGGGGCGGGAATTGTGTGAGCGGGTGTGTGGTTTGGCCCCCAACCAAGGGCAAACCCATCACAACATGTCTGACTGACAAACCACATCTTTTTGCAGAAAGAAGAGGTTATTTCTTGCTACTAGTCATTCACTAAAATGCACCAAAAGAATTATGAAAATGAAGTGGCTTGCCTGAATTATGTACATCTCCCCAACACTTTAGAGGATGGTGAAATTGAAGGGGGATTTTAGTGACATTCTGAAATATTGACTGGAAGTGCAGTGTATAGAGAAAGTCTTTGGATGCTCTGACTTTCAGTGCAAAAATAAAGCAATACTTTAATTCCTAAATTACTTGTTAATCCCTAACTATCTGAAGCACATCAAAACCACTTTGTGGGTTTACACCAAAGGATACATGAACTAGGGAACTTTTTTCTTTCTAGTCATTACACAGAATTAGAACTTGCCTCTCCCTCTAATGAAAGAATAGAGTTTATCACCTTTCATTATTACTGGCAGTGTCCATTTCCACTGAAGTTATTCTCAGACACTCAAGCTATGAGGCAATTTTTCTATATTCCTAGTGATTTTGAAATGTATTGCCTGCTTTTAACTTTCATCAAGAAGCACACTGTACAAAATCTTTTTTTTTTCTTTAAATAATGAGTTAGTGGATTACCAGATACATATGCATGGATTTACCACTCTCTTCCTATTGGCTAAAATCCTCTTGGAATATTCCATAATATATGGTGTTATGGAAAGTATGATTGACTGCTTAGAAAGGAAGGACAAGAACAGTTTGTGAAAAAGAAAATTGCTTCTCATATGATGTAGGTTTTGACTATGTTGCGGCTGCTTCTTGTGTATTGTTTTCAAATGTCACACAAATATGCATTTAATTATTTTTCAGTATTTAATGAACAACAAATATGTCTTTTTCTTACTAAGTGGCTTTTATTTCTCAGTACAAGCTAACACAAAGGAAGCTGATAGTTAAGTAATTAATTAGATAGTCCTAAGTGATATTGAACAAAAAAGAAAAAAAAAATAAGAGAAGTAGTTAAGTGGCGTGTTATATTAAAGAAAAAAAAATACATTCTATACAAAAGCCACTCATGTTATAGCTTCCAGTAGTTCAAAGTTGTACACTGAAGATGAGATTATTCACTCATGTAAATCAGTGTAGAACCCTCAAAGTCAGTAGGGTTTTTGATGACATTCAGGTCTGGTGTGCACCTGACAGTCAGATACTGCTCAGATGATACATCCCTGTTCATGTCAGAGGGAGCAGCCTACAGCGTAGGAGATGGTTTTTCACATCAAATAATTTGTTTCATTCTTTCTATGACATCATTAGTTCCAACCCTTAATGGATAACAAGGAGATGGAAAAGGAAGGACGTTTCCACAAGGGTCTGTTACCTGTTATGACTGACAGTCATTTTATATGTGCATAAGACACAATCTGCTTTGCAAAAAGAAACATCTGTTTTATGTTTCCTAACATATTTTCCTTCTATGTGAACAGGCAGCTCTAATTGTCTATAAATTCCCTGGGTAAGACAAAGGAGAACTAAATCTTTTCCTAATTACTGTCGAGTTTTGGTTTTTTTCCACTTCAACCTCTTTTCAATTACAGTTTATAATTAAATTGTCATACATTCCTAGCACATTACTCACTTTAATGGCAGGAAAACAGATCAAACTGGAGACATTTTCTGCCTGCAGAAATTCCTGGTAGAAAGAGCATGAGTGGCATGGGGAGGGCCAGACTCTGGCACCATTTTCCAGAAATGGTGAAAACCCAGGCTGCAATTTTCAGTGTCCGGCTCAGGATTTTGTCATTGAAAATAGAAGCCCTCATCTTACAAATGTCATCTTGTTCTTTCCAAGCAGGGAAATATGATGTGAGATAACCAGACTGCCTGTCTTGCTGGCAGTCTCCCTGTCAGACCCTGTGTGGTGTGTGTCTCTGGCACTCCCAACTCCGCACAGCTGTGGAGGGGATGAAAAGTCACCTTTCCTAATGGGATGGCACTCGGGCCAGGAGCCATCCCAGGGAGGTAACCTGGGCACTGCCAGCAGCCACAGCCTCTCTCCAGCCTGGTACCCGAGAGCTACCAGCCCAGCAGAGCTCACCCCTCCAGATGAGGTGTACCTGCAACCTCCAAGAGCCGTGCTTGGCTGCTTGGGCTGGCTTGGGGCATGAAAGGACAGGCACGTACCAGATGTGGGGTTGGGAGTGGGGAAAGGCACGGAGCCAAGGTATTTTGGCAAATAGAGTATGGTGAACACACATGTCTTGGTGCCTCTGGAAAACTCCTTATTCTTCCAAAATACCTGGATCCTACTTCATGTAGAGGCTGAGGCAGAAGTTGAAAGCAAAGGCACTCCCTCAGACAGCCCACTTGCCTACAGAAAGGGTTTGCCAACAATAAGACATGTAAGTCTCTCTTTTTCTCCTCACAGGCCAAACCAGACCGGGGAGGTGGAGAGGGAGAGCCACGGTCAGAGCCCCTGTGCTGACAGAGAGCGAGCCCTGAGGAAGTCTCGGCAGACGTACAGCACATTTTGGGGCCAGTCTCTAGATAAGATCACACATTGCCCTGCTCATCCCCTCCTATTGTCCCTAGCATGCCTCTGCTCCTGCTGAGTGCTGGTTCAGCTGAAGTACTCATGGTCTGCAAAAATAATTATGATGACCGAGCCAGAAGCTTTGAAAAATCTGAGACTAGTTCTCCTGTATCTGCCTTCACAGAGACCACCAGATACCTCAGAGAGGATACTTAAAACAATACACGTATACAGACGTATAGAAGTGTATACTGTATGATACAATTAAAAAAAAATATTTTGAAAATAGACAAGAACTGTTTGGTTATGCTTAATTCTAAAACCATTCATCTTTTATCTACACCATTACCTCTTCATGTCAATTACTTCCAACTCCTTCCTTCCTGCTTTGAGTCAGGTGGAGAGATTTGTGAGGCAAATGAGTAGCAGAATGGTGATAGGTGAAATACATTTCATTATTCCTACAGGCTTGAAATTTTAACAGAAAGCTTTGGTTTTTTTAATGTATTTGCCATCTGCTAGCAATTTAGCTGTTGCAGAGCAGAGCAAACAACGGTACACACAGTGTGCTTATTGTATGTGCTGATTTTTTTTCTTAATTGCTCCCTAAATAGTCTCTGCATGACTAAAATGCAAAATGCTCCAGTTGGTTATGCGTTACCTGAGGGGCACTGGTTACCCTCATGGTAAAAAAAAAAAAAAAAAAAAAAGCAGCTGAGAGACTGGAAGATATCTCCTGACTGAAAGTTTTCAAATGCACATTCTCTACTTGTGAAAGGAGACTCAGACTGAACTCCCTTTTATGCACTTGTGTTACTGAGTTCAGCGTTTGTATTTCAGGGGTGCAGTCCTCTGTCAGCTGGCTACTTTTAGGAAAAGCCTGAATCTCACAGACCATTCAGTTTCATGTCTTTTAGTCACTATCAAAAAAAAAAAAAATCCAATAAAGCAGTTCTTCCTAGTTTCTCCCACACCTGTGCACACATAGAAACTCAGAGAAGCGCAACAGAGCCCAAATACCAAATACCTGTGGAGTTAGTTTCCCAGCCCTTTGTGTTATTGGTTCATTAATCACAACTTCTACTTTGCAGGCATCCTTCTCTCTGGGGATGGAAAACTTGAGGTCATCTTCTGACAGGAAGACAGACTGTCCCTTCATCACTTTCATTCCAAGGTTGACACTAATAAATGAGGAGCAGACAACTCTTAGTACAACAGGCAGCAGCAGAAACAACCATCTTTTCTCAAAGGGCTTCATACTGAGGAGATGCCAGCTCTTTTCCACCAGTTAGAATGTTCTTAACAAAAGAAGTCTTCTCTTTCTCTGCCAGCAGATTTTCACCATACAATGAAGGACCAAAATGTCAGTCGCAGGTAACCACGTACCACATTTGTACCATGTTTTCCATTAAGATGCCCCTCTTGATTGAAATTTGGACAGACACGTTTCAAAATATCCTTGGGTTTTTACAAAATTCAGTGGGAAAGCCTGAGAAAATGATGAATGTGTTCTCAGAATAGTTTTAAGTTTCGTTAATCCTGCAGAAAAAAAAAAAAGAAAAAAAAAAAAGAAAATTTACAAAAGGGATTGATCAGCTATTGGGAAAAAAAAAAATAACCACACAAAAAAGTTCTGTCCTTTCTTACAACTGCAGTTCATTTCAAGCAGCAGATTAACCTTGCCTTTCAATACTATTAAGTGCACACATGCTCAAAATATTAGCTACATACTAATAAGACTTCCCCCTGAATGGATCAGCTCTCAACATGAATTCCAGGCACCTTCAAATCCACATGGACATACAAACAGTTGCTGTGTAGGATCCTTTGTTACTGGCCTTTTTTACTACTGGAACAAGTAGATATTAATAAAAGGGTATGACCATCCAAGCAATTTGAAAGGACAGGAGTAGGCATTCATCAAGATTCAGTACTTGAAAGTGGGATAAAGGCAGAGTGGCTTTTTGTTAAATAAGTTTTTGCTTTGCCATTGAATGTGGGGGGAAAAGATTCAACCTTTAGTTGAAAACACCTTGCCTCTGCTCTTCCTGCTACAGTGAGTAACTATGCCAGAACGTCAACATAGAAACACATGACAAGACACAACAAAGCTGAATTTTTTTCTTTTTCACAAAAAAGCAGTAATCATTCTGAGGGAAATTCAGTGGAAATAAGGAACAAAAGATAATATGGCAAATAAAATTACACAAGCTCCTCATGCCCCCCATTACAGTTAATCTTCATATTTCATGTTTATAAACTCATAAGACAAGAATAGTTCTTCTGGCATTGAACAAATACTGTTGAAATCCTTATCAGACCCTAATATCTACAACCTTCCAAAGTAACTGAATCTATGGCTTGGAGATTTAGTTGAATTTGATAAGATCATAAGTAATTTCAAGCTAGAAAAGCATCAACATTCCTTCGGTTTCTTCTGAATTTTTAAAATGAGACTTATTTGCACAGTCTAATTTAACCACAATCCTTCCACCAACAGTGAGCTTTCCTGAACGTGAATAAAAAAAACCAGATCCATATCCTTCATCTCCTTCTTTATTTTTAACAGGTAAGCGTTCACTCTACTGTTTCCGGTAGGATGACCTTCTGAACAGCCTACAGTTGTATGCACATATCCACCCAGTTTTACATTTGACTGAACAACAAACAGCAGTTAAGAATATCTTTAAAATTATTCATTTCCTAAAGTAACACAAGACAGATCCACTCACTTCAGTTCAGATTCAAGACTGAAGATATTGGGACGCAAATAAGTTTGTTTCTAGGTGTTCCTGCTCCGGCAGGGGGATTGGACTAGATGATCTTTCGAGGTCCCTTCCAATCTCTAACATTCTGTGATTCTGTGATTCTGTGAAGCTAGATGCATGTTGACTATGTAGTCTGGGCCACAAATCTTAACTCTGGTTTTCTAGCTTTTTATTTCAAAATCTTTCCATTTTGATCTAAAATTATGCAGCCAGATCAGTCTGAACATAATCTGAGAGAAAATGGAGAATTCTAGCCAGAGGAAAGGGAATTAAATTAATGGTTGAAAGCTTTTTAACATGTTCCAGAAACAGACCAAAATCTCAATTAATTTTTAAAAAGTTTACTTACACAGACAGCTTTTACTAAAATCCAGATATGTAAATGTGCCCAAAGTACTTTTTCAGTTTTGTTTCTTTCTAGTGGGATGGGTGTGCATAGCACTTCATTGAAATAAGCACATCTGAGACAGCACTCCACTTCCTAAAATCCACAGTTCTGAAACACAGTCTGCAATCCTATAAAGGACAACTTGGAAAGAAGGGGAGGAAAACAGATTACACTTCAGCCTTCAAGCAAGAAAATATGGTTTACAGCAAGTGCACCCTTTTGACCTGAATAACTGCCTGGCATTGATCACACAGTGCACAAATTGCTAGCATTTATCAAATATAATCTGTGTTTCCTTAAAATAGTTCAGAGATGGCACTGGTCAGGAACTGTATGGCTCTCTGAATCTCACATATGTGGTTACAGGAAGGGAAAGCCAGGTGTCTCTCTCCAACAGGCACTGACAGAGCTGTTCATGCAGAGATGATGAAGCCCAGGTCCATCTGGGCTGGTGCCTGCCCCACCAACCACAGCACTGGGTGAAGGTATAAACCTCAGACACAGGTGGTGGTTTCTTTGCTGCTGTCATGGTTTTAATAAAGATCCACCACCACAGCCTCTTGTTTAAAAACCTGGTGGGCTGAGGCATGGACAGGGAGGGTTCACTCACCACTTACGGTCATGGGCAAGAAACCGACACGACTTGGGAAAACAAAACAAAAAAAAAATTTAGTTTATTAACTATTTACAATCAAAACCAAAAGCAAGATTATGAGAGAGAGAACTACATCTTAGAAAGGCACTTCTCCCCCACCCCTCCCTTCTTCCCAAAGCCCAAAGGCTTTGTTCCTGGTTTCTGTACCTTCTCCCCCCTCCCTGATGGTGCAGAAGGGTAGGGAACGGGGGTTGCAGTCAGTCCATGTTGTCTCTGCCACTTCTTCCTCCTCAGGGGAGGTCTCCTCACAGTCTTTCCCTGCTCCAGCGTAGGGTCCCTTCTCAAGGGGGAGTCCTTCAAAAACTGCTCCAATGTGAGTCCTTCCCACACGGGGTCACAGTCCTCTGATAACTGCTTGGATCTGGCGTGGGTTTCTTCAAAATCATGGAGTCCTCCACAACTACATCTTCTCACGGGCTGCTCAAGGGACATACAGGCATCACCATGAGTCTTCACCACACTGCAGGGGAATCTCTGTTCCAGGCCACCTCCTTCCTCTCCTTTCTCTTCACTGATTGGCGTCTCTCTCAGATCCCGCTTCTCTCTCCGCTGCAGATTCTTTCACCGGCTCCTGAAAAACTGACTCTCGGGGGAGCCATGGCAGAGACTTGGGCTGTGGCAGGTCCAGTTACAGCAGAACCCCAGTCAGGCAGCTGGACGGCCCAGCCAGGCCAGGCCCTGCCCAGGGCCCCACCGCCCCCATGTTTGGTGTCCCCTCTTCAATATGTCATTTGCAGAGGCACCGATTGGCTCAGCCCTGGCCTGGGGTGGGTACAGCCTGGAGCTGGGGAAACTTCCAGCAGTTTCTCACAGGGGCAGCTCGGTGGTACTCCTTCCCCTAGCCCCCAGCTACAAAAACCTTGGAGCTGGGGGGTGGGGGTGAACTCTTAGCAGTTACTCATGGAAGCCACCACTGCAGCCCCTCCCTCACTACCAGAGCAGACGTGCAGTCAGGGGAAACCTTTAGCAGTTACTGACAGGAGACATTTAGTGTGGCCGCTCCCCTGCTACCAAACAGACCCACCACACAAAACCACAACAGGTGCCTTTTCTTGCCCTGCATCAAACACTAAGAGCAGAAAGGCTCCAAGAGGAGACAGAAACATTTTGGCCAATTTCATGGTGGGTGTGTGAGCCATTCTCTGCTACAAAATTGGTCCCATGCTGTCACTGTGTGTTACAGTCTTGCTTTTGCTGCTTTCCCTTGCAGGTACTGCTCCTCTATGACTATAGACGTTTGCCCCACATGTTCCAGCAATTGGCCCCTACTTGTCAGCTGCAGGGCTGTCGCCTTATATGACTGTCCTGGTTTCCACTGGGACAGAGTTAACTTTTTTCATAGTGCCTAGTAAGAGGCTATGTTTTGGATTTGTGCTGAGGAGAAGGCTGATAACATACGGTTATAGTTGCTGCAGGACAGTCAAGGACTTTCAGCTTCTCTGCTGTGCCAGTGTCTGCAGGTGCAGGAGAAGCTGGGAGGGAGCACAGCCCCGATTACTAGCCTAGAATTTGACCTTATCTTTAGGATTGAGACCCTAATTAGCCAATGGTATACGCCATATCATGCATGTCATGCCCAGTATATAGACGAGGCTCTACCAAGAAATGTCCTCTCTCTCGCTGGGTCCTTTCTCTCTCAGTTTGTGTTGCCCCTTGCTCTGGATCATGTTCCTCTCTCTTGGGGTCATGTCACTCTCTTGGTCAGTTCTCAATCTCTCAGACACTTGGGCTTTTCTTTTCCAAGACTGTGATTTTAGAACTCTCACTGCTGCAGGATCATTAGCCGGGAACGGGCTGAGCCTTGATCATCAGGTAGTGAGCAGTTTACTGTGTCACTCATTTGTATATTTGTATATATAACTATTATAATTATTATTTTCAGTTTTATTGTAGGTTAGTTATTAAATTGTTCTTATCTCAACCCACGAGTCTTCTTTCCCTTTGGCCCTTTATTTGTCTCCCCAATCCCTGGGAGGAGGGAGGGTGAGTGAGCAGCTGTGCAGTATTTTTATGCTGCTAGCCAAGTGGCTGAAAATCCCAGCAATGGCCAAGTGAAGATCTTGAGAAATATAACCTCACTTTCTCAATCACTTATCCAAGGATAGCAAACTGAAATGACAAGAGATCCTTTCAGCACATAATGGCAATAAAATGAGAAGGTTTTGCAGGGATTGGCATCCGATTGGCATTCTCCCATCTGTGCAAAGAAGGCCGTTGCCTCAGTAAAGTCACATGTGCTACATGATACTTATAGCTGATCCATAGTGATAGTGTGTCACTCTTCAGCATCTCTGCAACCACTGGTGATGCAGCTGCCATATTTCATGGCTGCTTTGGACTTCTTTACAGTCTCCTTACTTCTCTGCCCTTAATATCACAGCTGAGTCTGATTCATCACTGCTATTCCTTGGCGTAACACCTGTGTATCCAGAATGAACAAATGACTG